CGGTCGCTTGTTACTGTTTATTTTTTTTACTAAAGGCAGACGAGCGTTTCAACAAATACCAGAGTTCTGCTGAAAATCCGAAGTTCTTCGTAAAGCTCATGCTTGATAACCACGAGCGGCTAACATTACAAACGGTTCCTGGGGCCGTATGCTATACGTTTCCCGAGGGTGACATATCCTCCAGCAAGCCACCGCTCTCTGCCGTTATTTCTATCGATGCCTCTCGTCTCTCTACAGCTGCCTCTCTGTATCTTTCCGTAGGAAAGCACTGTGAACCCCTACGACACGTGCTGGGGGAGGGGGAGAATGCTGACCATACTGTGCGGTGCACTATATTCGCACAGAGCATAACGGCAGAGAGTGCCGGTTTACAAGGTGATATCTCTTTTGGAGGGGGAAAATATAGCATAGGGCTCCTGAAATCAGAGCTTCTGCATGGCCTCAAGCTCTGTGCATTTTAAAGGGAGTTTGAGGAAGGTTTTCCATTCATTATACCAGATATGGTCGACGTACATGATGTACCGTATTTAACTTTAACTTGGGATTCAATTCAGGATGAAGTGATCGAATGTGATAGTTACGATCCCGTAGAAGATTTCGATCCCGAGTCCTTCAAGCCCGCACCGACGAAGGTAAGTGTGCATCCGCAATCACTTCTTCAGAAAAACGAGCCATTGAAGTGATATTTTCAAAATTTATTCCAGCATATACGTCCTCCTTGGTTTAAACATTCTGCAACGGAATGCGATGCGAAAAATTGGGAAATTTTCGTAGAAGCCATAGAGGCTTTCGATCGTGAGACCATATTCGAGGGAATGTTAGTTTCTTGGCGCCATGACGTAATCCTGAACACAGTTGGTTTTTCATTTTCAGAGATGATTTTATCGTCACTATAGAAACACTGCTGCCACATTTATCATCTTGCTTTGTGACCCTCATGAAAGGTGAGTTGAAATAGTGCGTCGTAGAAAAGGTACGCTTCCGAAGCTACGCTCGCCTTACGAAGCAGGGCCGTATAACAGAAGAGGCGCTCCGGTTGGTATCCAATGTACCTGCAGCGACCGTGGTTACGAGAAGGCTTTCTTTTCACTAAAACTCATTTAGGAAACAAGTACCTAGATTGAGGGCACCCGCTTCGCACACTTTTGGTGCGGCTTAGCATAGGTACGTGTGCTCTGTACTATTGGCCCACACCCTACGTATCGCAACTTTGACACGACCTCTCCAAGTTGTTCTTTAGGTAGAACCTAATTTGCGGACTGTAAGCAAAAAAAAGACGTGGTGAGTCATGTGGAGTGGGGATGAAAGCGCTCTGAATGCTTAAGTACTTAGGGATTCTTGAGGCTACGTTCATACTTTGTGGCAGCGCCCACCAGCGCTTCGAGCGCCCGTCAGCGCCAGCAACCAGGAAAGTATAAGTACGAACGACAGCATCCAAAAGCGTTCCCCAGTGACCACCAGCGATAGGAAAGGAGAGTATGGGGAATTAGGAAGGTAGCAGTCTGTTGGTAGGATACGGAGAGGTAGGAGAGAGCAGTGTGCTGGATAAGGCGTCCTGAAATTGCGAAATCGCGCCGTACTACTGTCGCTGGTGCGGTTGCACAGCACAGCCGCATATTCACGACGCCTAGTCTGGTTGTCTGCTGCCTCCTAATTCCCCATACTTTAAGCAAGAGTGTTCTACCCTATTGTACCCCATATTCTCCACTCCATGGACGCTTGCCTACCTTTGTTGGATCAATACTGTTTTAGTGCTGGCGCTTGACGGACGCTCGAAATGCTAGTTGCGAATGGTGGACCCCCGTCGCAAAGCAGTAATATGAACCCAGCCTAAGATTATTTAGGCTCATTGTAACGTCTTGTGGTGGTGGGAGTTAGGCAGCAGCAGCGATTGCTGAAATAGTTTTCGGAGATCGCATTAGTGCTGGCAGACACTGTCGTTTCGAGCTCCCTGTCTGCCCCTCCAAAGCTATTTTCGCTACCCTATTTTTTGTGCCTGGTAGTTTTGCTAGTTTACTGGTTGTTTTGTCCGAAGCTTCTGCTCTGATTGTTTGATAAAATAAATAAAAAAAGTATGAAGGGCAAAAGACCTCGTTTTAGGTTCTTCCTTTTCATTGCAGCACCCTCATTGTAGCACTACTTAACTTTAAAGGGTTTCATTTGGTAATAGTTTGCATGCTGTCACTTTTTTATTTTCCCTGTTTTATAGATAATGCCTTGTCGGAAAAAGATGTGGCTACGAAAGTTATGGAGTGGCTAGAGATTTGTTTCAGTAAGGAAGTGCAAGCACATGAGGAGGTATTGAATACAACTGTTGCTCGTTTGTTCTTTCGGCAGTCTGATTTTGCTCAGCATAAAGGGACACCAAAGACACCAAGTTTCTAAAAGCCAAATCAACCAAAGGGGCAAATCTTGGTTGCAAAGATCGACCCGATTCTTGAAGGGTATGCTCGTATAGGATTAATAGTGCAACTTGTTGTGTCCTCTTGTGTTGTGAACAGGGTACGGCATCGTGATGTGTGAAGTGGTGGTGTCAGTACGATCCCCCGCCCTCCGGAAAAGTATCCTGGTACGACCCCCCCCACTCTAGAAGAGAGTCTCGGTATCCACTCCTCTTCCCAAACACCTATCTGCAAATTTCCCCACATTTTCCAGTTTTTCTCCCAAAAATCTTGCTGTCAAGCGGGAGAGGGGGCAGGGGTGTATAGTGTACATGAAGCAGGAAAAATCACGAAAAGTCAACAAAAAAATTTTTCCAACGCGGAAAATCTCTTTCAAATCCACTTACGACCCCCTCTCCCCAACGGCAAATACGACCCCCTCTCCCTATGTGTTTCACACAACGATGCTGTACCCTGCCTGGCTGTGAACAGGGCACATCGTTCTGGGGATCCCGAGCAAAGAGTCGTATTCGCGTCGTGATTGAATTTAGTAGTTGTTAAGTGGCGATCTCTCACCCCTTTTCCCCCCTCCCCTAGATAAATAACGAGTAAAACTGGGAATTTTAGAAAATTCTGGAGCGTGGTGTGAAATTGTAAGTCAGTAAGATAGTAGGTAGGGTGAGATCGTGCCTGAAGGGGACTTGGGTGTATTATTAAAAGCTTCAGAGTAGCATGAATTATTTGAAATAGTACCTTTGCAGGCGAAGAAAATGCATGAAATCGCTTTTGGAATTCTAAAGGCGGTAGCCGAATCATCGAAGAAATCCGTCATAGGAAAGCATCTAGTGGTAGGTTCAGCTATAGCACATCAAAAACTATGTTCTTTGGTCTACAGTTAGACTTTTTTCAGGAATCTGGAGTTATAGAAGTTTTAGCGGTTGTCATGGAAGAGTCAGAGTGTGCTGATTTACGAATGAAAGCGCTCCATACAGTTTTTCAATGGGTATGTATACGTAGTCTTCCTTATCAGACGGATTTTTGCTTTTCTTTTTCTCATTTCCTCCTGACCATTACGATTATTATTCAGATATCGTCGCCTACGCTTTGGCGTGTTTCGAATGCTCGTCTTTGTGAAGGAAATTCAGAAGATAAATCGCGTACTCTCCATTCAAGACTTGTTGCAATGTCGCTTGCTCATCGATATTTCATTAGCAAGGTAGTTAAACACATAATTATAAGATATACAAGTTTAAAGGACTTAAAGACACATTTCGCGACAAATTGTTAGGTAGAATATCTTGTGTGTGTTTGATGAATAGGTCAACTGCCGCCCACAACGCACCACTTCGCCTTCTGAAAAAAAGTTGTAAAAGTTGAAAAGGGGGTTTGTGACCTATCTTGAAAGCGTCTTCTTCAGTCCGGTTCTACCCATATTGTATGGGCGTGTAAAGTTATTTTCGCATCGCGATAAGCGTTATCGAAAGGGGCACTACAGGCGGGGTGATGTGCACAGCATTCGCACCAGGACCCCAACTCACTCATGGCACTCAATGTGGCAGCGCTGCGATGCAGCTCTGTGTCTGTATGATCAGCTCTCCCTCAATGTCCGTGTCTCAAGCCAGCTAAGAATGCGTACAATGCCGCGACTCGGTTGAAACGCTACACACCCATATTATATAGCCTTCACTGCCCGTGTAACTGGAAGTTGTACTGCCTGCGGTGTTCTGGTCCCTTGCTCGCGCCACTAAGCGTCTCTGCGTCTCTATACACATCGCGCTGTCTCAGAGCTGAAATCGGGTCTGGTTCCATGCAGGTTCCTCTGCTGTTTTTCCTGCTCGTGCGTCAATAAACATCTAAAATTGTATTAGGTCATCCCATTCAAAGTGGCCGACACATATAGAGGAATGGCAGAAAAGCAAAGGGGATAGAGCAGCGGGCTACTATACCATTTGGAAGCTAGTATCTCGCGCCCTTAGCTGTTATCTGTGAATTTGGCGAACCTACCTCTGAGTCAAGTTCTCCCCAGCCCGAGAAATTGATAGAAAGGCCCGCCCGTGTCAGCGTGAAAAATCGCGCGCCAGGTTTTTCAAATCAGACGACAAAAGGAAAGTGCGCTGCTCAAATTTGACCTGCGCCGGACCATAGTTGTGTGTAAGGGTGTTCTCGAAATACACGGTGGAAGATCTGGTTCAGGAGCCCGTACAAGGAAGAAAGGAAAAAATTTGTTGTCGTGGTGGTCCCATAATATTCATCCTGCACAAGAAAAACGGGTGGATGAAGTCAGGCACTGAATATCTGATCACAGAGCCTGGACCCTTGTCGAGCTTCCCCGCGAGTCTGACATCCCAGCTGCAACTGCTGCCCGAGTTATGTCCGATAAACGGAGGATGGTCAAGAGGGTGGCGCATGGGTACCTAATTTTCTTATAGAAGCACGAACGCAGTACCGATTCTATACCTCCAGCAGTAATGTTCTCAGCATGAGATGTCACTCACAACTGTGAAAACGCACCCCGGCCCTAGATGAAATATGGGTGGTCTCGGACCTCGAGTCGAAACTCACAATCGTCAATTTTCTATGAATGCAGATGAGAAGCCGCCCGAGTTCTACCATGAAGAGTTACGTGGGCGCAAGTGGATGATCATCATAGCAAAGGATTCCCACACTGTGGCTTCAAGCGGCTCTATACAGAGGACAAATCCGTCACTGTCGGTGCATATTGAACTGAGACCTGAGTTCAATCGTCCCATTCGCCCGTCATAAAGCCATGCGATTACAACTGTTCTATTCAGTAGAGAGTACTCTTCGACGGCAGACGCTACAATGTTTTGTCATTTGCCGAAATTGGCAACAACAGCAATTTACTCACACTTGTTGAAAAATCGAAGGTACCAGAGGTCCAAAGGCCCTCGGGGCACTGGGAGCGGGTCATTGGTGAAGGAGGGATTTACTCATCCTAAAGCTAAAATATCACTTTTCTATCTATTCTCCTCTTTGTTTTATTCAAAAAAAACCATCGGCCACTTTGAATGGGATGACCTAATAGTAGAATGACTCAAAAATCACAGTCTTGTTCGCTGCGTATGATGAGGCGTATCAGGAGGAAAGGGTTCGGCGCTGCGCCAGACCAGTTTTCCATCAGTCCTTGAAAAGAGCAAGAGACAGAATGATATTATATCGTTCATATCATCGTTTTCTAACCATTGTTGTCGCTCACCCGCTTCAACAGCCGGTGGAGAACGAGTTGGCGACGCGACTAATCCAACTTCACTACCTGTGCCATTTAATTGCGGAATGAACTCAGACTAGAGCCGTCTCATGGGCAATATTTCTACCAAATGTGATTTTACATTGTTATTTTCAGAACTTCTTGCACCTAATGACACTTGTGATGTCGTGGTCACGCTTTCTTACTGCTCTCACTGGGTTAGAATGCGCTTCAAGAAATATGGTGAATGCTGTCTATCGTACTGCCAAAGTCGAAGATTTACCGATGACTGAATTGTGGGAGAAGTGGGATGCATTTGTTCTCAGGTGCTGCAATAACCAAGATCTTAGCTTTCAATGATAGATTTACCACATGAAACATTGTAATATTTTCGTGTTACAGTTTTAATGCACTTCGGGATTATATTATTCAATTTGATGATGAGAAAGTCTGCGCTTCGTTCGATATCTATGGTGTCTTGCAGTCAAGGTGAGTAGAGTAATTGAGCAGTTTATGGTCTGGACGGCTTAAGTTTCTGAAGGGTAAATTCTTTTTGAAAACATAACATAAGGCTATCTAATAAGGGAATGGTTTCAACTTCCCATGGAACTTTGAATGGAGACCTAGGTACATCGATAGAGCCTCGAATGCTGATTACGAATATGCAGATTAAAAGTGCTACGGGGACCTCCCAGACGAGTTCTGGGCGGTCGAAATTTAGGAGTACTCGATTGTGGCTCGTAAGCGCTGCTGATTGCTCAGTGACAGTGAGGCCGATCGAGTATGGATTTGATCATTGTGTGCCCTCCCTCTGTGAACACATCACCCATCAGACAAATCGAAGTTTCGGCCAGAAACTCATTCGTCGGGGTGTTCTGGAACAACTGAACACGAATATCGCCATCCGTATGGACGAGG